TTCTGGAGCATGGCAGCTTGCCTATCCGCCTTGGGCAACCAGATGACACTGCATTGCATGCTGGGTGCAAGTCCATTGGCTGTGCGCGGCTCTATGTACACTCCACGTGTGCCCGAAAACCCTTGCACGACGGCTTCCAGGCTCTCCGGGATGCGAACACTGACCGTGAACAGGCAGGCTGTGTCTGGGGCTGTAGCCTGATACCCCAGCTTGGTGAACTGTCGCCTCCACACATCCAAGAGCGCATCACTAGCTGGGTTGTCACTGGATCCATGCCATTTGTGGCACGTGCACTTTTTCAATGCTGAGTTCGTCACGATACACCTGGATGCGCTGGGTGCTAGCTGCTACCCCTTCTACCTGGATGACATTGGTGGGGGCTGCCTTTTGCACAGGCGCCTTGCCCATTTGCAACATGATGGCGGAAATCAAGATAGGCTCTTGCGTATCTGCACAGGTGGCTGGGAATCGGATGTCGGTAGGCACAAATGCTTGAGAACAGTCCTCCAACTTGGCTCCGAGCACTAGCAAGGCCAGGCATTGTTGCGACACCGGTTGCTTGGCTGCAAGGTAGGGCTGTGCATGAGACGCGTCAACTACCAGGACTCCTTTGGCCTGTGGTCCGATTTGCTGCATGGTGAGCTGTGGGAGATCCTCATCTCCTTGGAACACTCCGGTACGGACTATGACCTGTTCATAGGAGACTGGCGGAGGAGCCCCGCCTTTGCCTAGGCCTTTGGCACGCCCCTCCGTGGCCCTTTTCTTGCGGCCTACCGGGATTGCACTACCTGCGCGGTCAGCAATTTGCTTGCGAAGTTCATCCGCGAGCACGAACTTGAAGGCAGGTGAGCCTTGGTTGCCGACTTGTTTGAGGGCGGCCCAAGGATTAGTTTCCTGACTAGCTCTCTTGATCGGGCCGGCTCCGAGGGCGAGCACGGCAGCTTTGGCACGGTCAGCAACCCGGTCAGGAAAAACCCCCCGCTCGTGCAAGATGGGTCCAAGGATTTGGCATGCATCCTCGACTTCGGCGGAATTGCGCCCCTTGGCCATGACAACAGGTGAAGGCCATCTGGCACTGACACGAATGGCATCATGGAATCTGCTCCGCAGGACCGGGGCCGTGATTTGTTCCAGAGCCAGTAGATGGCTCGGAACCCACACGCTGGGCTTGGCCACTCCGTCCACACTCTATGGTCAATCTGGACCTCTCGGCACCGGAGAACTTGGGCGACGGTATGGTGCAGTGGTTGCATGTGCTCTGCATCGGTTGGATGGTCGGTACAGGTCGTAGCCTGCAGGGTTCGTGCTTGACGCGTCCACACAACTGGTATCCAGCGCTGGTGTACTCTGACTACGGAACCTACCACCAGCTTCTGATGCGGCGGAAATTCCTGCCCTTGCACCTGGGCTTGGCCGTTTGGCTGCAGGGCTGCACTACTGATGAGGGGATCCATGTAAGCAGTGATCTCACTACTGTCCCTGACAAGGCCTGCGCGGTGGAACCGGAGCTCATCGTCGGCCCACAGTGAGTCTTGCATGTCAAGCATCTCGATCGCTGGCCGATATGTTCCTGTGCCGGGCAGGGGAGAACTGGATTCTCTGCGGAATGCAATCTTTGCACACGGTCGGCTAACACCTGACGCCACCTGGTGACATGATCTGCTGGTCCTAAGGCTGGTGCAGTGGCCTCTCCGGACCGACTTCATCGGTGGGAGCTTGGGCGTCGGCATGATCGCCGGCTGCCAGCACCAAGGGCCCTCTACACATGATCTGGTCTGCGACCGCATTGCTGAACGCAGCCCGGAGAGCGTCATAAGTGATGCTCGGGAGTGCAACGGATGGCCCAAGGTACTGCCAAAGCCAGTATATGGCGCGGAAACCACATGCCTCATGCGGCCAGGATGACCCAACACGGTGATCAACCTTCAGGTCATGGCAGTGCCAGGCGCGTGCGATGATTTCATTGGCCTTCTGAAGCTGTTCTTGTTGCTGGAACACGAGACAATTTCCAGTGTTGCTCCCTTCTTGACCCACACCACCGGGATCCAATGCGCTTGGGCCCGGACTACCGACACTATCACTGCCTGATGCTTGGCGTGCAGATCGTTGGTTTGCAACCATGATGCAACCTGATCCTCGTCATCCCTGCTGCGCAGATTGGATGCTGCTAGCGGCTCAAGCCACTGGTCTACGCTGGGGCATGCGCGTGTGAGTTGGCGCAAGTGAAACCGGATCTCATCGTCGGCCCACAGGGCACCTTGCTGTTCAAGCACTTGAAGGCGCTGCTCACTTCGTGTGATGGGGCTTGGCGTGTGTGAGGGATCCACAAGGCTAATGGCTGGCGTTGCTGCGGCGAGCAACTCACGGATTGGATGCGGGGCAGCATGCTCTGGCGGGCCCTGGCGCACCTTGATGATTTGGCCATCTCTGACCTGAACATCTGCCGCCTCCGTGTCGTCCAAGTGGACAGGGACCCCGTGCAAGAGGCTTTCAGCTCGCAGGATTTGGCCGACAGTGACTTCATCAGGTTGCTGGCATGCAATCCTAACGGGAGGCTCTCCGGGATAAAGGAGCTGCACTTGCACGGGATTGCTGTGAGTGAACTTCCCTCCACAGGTGGGGAGGGGTGCGCTGGCTGTGCTGGGCTGGGGTGTCCATTCAAGGCAATCCTCGGGCAAGTCATCGGCAAGATCACGAAAGGCAACTGCATCTGAGGACGCGCCGGGCGGTGTCCTTGGCTCTAAGCGGTCTGCACAGGTGGTCCAGACCTCTTCCCTGGCTTGTAACAGTAGTGCCTTGTAGGCCTGCAGAACAGTCTCTGGTGTGGGCGGCTAGTGCGTGTGTGCCTGGGCCTGTACGTGCATCATGATCCACACCGACTGGATAGGTGAGGCTAACTGGCCAACCAAGGCGGGTCCTAAGCGGCAGTTCCCTACCCACTGCATGCCTGGGTGCAACCCATTCAACAGCGCACACTCGGCAGGGTGCATGTGCCGGTATTGCTCACCGGACTTGATCAACACGGTGTGGATGCCTCGGGACTGGATGCGCTGGTTGGTGAAAGCCGCTCGTCTGCACCCACAGGGGCATGGCATGAGTTGATTTCCCCATCCGTGCAGCGCGGTTGGCATGGGCAGGTCGCTCCGTAGCACTACGGTGTCTAGGTCACCTAAGACTTGGGAGAACACTCGAACCTCATGCTCGGTTAACAACAACTGCTGGATCTCATGCTCTGGCCACGGTGCCAGAGTGGGCATGATGCTTGCCACAGTCCTGTGCTGTGGATCTGCGGGCGAAGTCCTGACTGGTCAAGACTGCCCACCACCGGATGCGTCGGGCGCCCCACGTGTCTTGCAACTGCAGAACTTGTTGGGCTACGTGGTCCTGATGGCGGGATGCAAATGCTTGCAATTGGCCCTGCACCCATGGATCATGCTGCACTTCGGCTACACATTCAAGAACCACTACTTGGCTTTGGAGTAGCTGGGCAATTTCCAGGGCCGCCGGCAGGGTTTTGGCTCGCATGTCTGACTGGCCCTTATTGTCTCCTAGTCGACTAAAGGGTTGACAGCTGAAGCCACATGTGAGTGTGCTGTGTTGGGTTCCTTGCATGGCGATGGCTCGCTTGATGGGCAGCTGGGTGATGTCCCCTTCCAAGATGAGCAACTGTTCATCTCGGGCGTTTGCCCTCAACACCTGGCATGTATCGAACTGCTTGTCGTTCTGCAGCTGGATGTGGTACGATGCAGCTTCTGCGCCTTTGCCAAGGGCTCCCAAGCCGGCGCAAACCTCCACCAGCTCGAGGTGATCCTGAACCGAGGGTTCACGGAAAGCCCTGACCTGCGTGGTCTGGCATCTGGTCACCGTCAAGCTCTTCCCAGATCGGGCAGTGAGGACTCCCACCAAAAGCACCTTAGCAGCAGCTGGGATCGGGAAGTGAACGCGCACCTCCATCTTGTGGGTCAACGACCAGCCTGTCGACACCGGGTCACCTGGGCACTGTATGGCAACTACCATGTCGTCCATGCCTCAAGGAGTTGGCTAGGTCAGCCTGGCCATCTGGAAGGCCCCTTGAGCCCAGGCTAGGGAAAACATCTCTCTTGAGCATAACCGTTGTGCTCTCCATGGTGTGATCGGGGTGTTTCCCAATGGAAAAACCTCTGAGCGTTGGGATCTCGTTTGTGCGAGAGACCCAGAGCTGCAACTGGGCATCTCTTTCGAGGGCACCCGTTTTGGATGGCATCAAAGGGAAACCAAGGGGACACTGTGGGGATTCCCCCATTTTGAGACAACCCCAAATGGCTCTGAAAGGAGCTTTGCAGGCCAAGGGCTCTGCAAGTATTGCTGTATGCGGATGAGGAGGCCACGAACGAAACATTAAATGAAAAACCGAAGAATGTAGGAATGAAACATCCCCAACACCCAAAAGTAGAAACCCCACGTCCGCTTGTTGTTGGATGTTCTGCTTCTGTCTCTTCATCACGTCCATTTGTTCACTTGGTTCCAGCCTTCGCTGTCCTCTCTTCCAAAGCGACAGTGATCGTTTCTAAATGACCACTGTTTTCTGTTGAAAGAGTGCCTACTACTGCCATCCAAACATCGCGTTTTGCAACAAGAACCGACAGACTCACATTGAAAGTCTTGCAGCTTCAGGCCTAGTAGAAAGCTCAGCCTTGATCGGACTTCCAACAGCTCCAAGCAGACAACAAACGGAGCGGAGCCTGAATCAGCGGCTACTTAGCTCTCGCCAGTTGGTCAAGCTGATCTGACCCTCACCTCTGATGCAATAGGAAGGGCGAGCGAAGTGTGTCCAGTGACCCCTGTCAACTAGCGGCCTAGTGCCGAACATGAAAAGCCGCAGGCGGGATTGCCGATCATGATCCTGAACATCTTTGCCCGACACCTCGTCTCTCAAGTCATGACAAATGCAGCAGCTGGCCAAAAACAGGCAACTCACCCATAGTTGGGAGGGAGATGAGCTGCACTCTGCACTTCCCGTCCTTCGCTGCCCGCATAGTGATGTCCACATAAACCTCATGCCAGTATGGGATATGGGTCAAACCAGTGACCAAACGATGTGTCAGGTGCCTGTTGAAGACCCAGTTTTCATCTCAGCCAAACCATGCCAAACCATTGGCATCTCAGCCAAAACCCATGGCAAAGAATCTCATGGGGCATGGATGGGGGGGAGGGAGCCCAAATAAGGCCTTATTATGGGCTTACTAAGAGCTGATTTGAGCTCCCTCCCCCTCCCCTCCCTTCCAGGCCTGACGAGAATCAAAAGGCGGACATGTCCGCTCCATTTTTTGGCTGGGGTTGTCCTTGAACCTTCACTGACCCAGGTTTGATTGTGGCTCAACTGGCTTGTGTCAACAGCCGCAGCCCAGCTGAGTCCATGTCGCACAGCTCTCCCGAGAGCTGCTGCTATTGCCAAGGGGCCGCCAGGATAACATTGTAGATGCCTCCGCATGGTAAGACACTGACGCCAAGCACACGTAAAAAAATTAAATACAACAAAATGTTTGGCGTGGCGCAAGTATGCCCTGCCGCTGTACTGTGAGCAAACATGAATAACGAAGGTCACTGCCGCTTGCTGCAAGTTTGTTAGTAGCCACTACTTATTCCATGTGCCAAAAGGCTGAGAGATCCCCGGTAGCTTCGCAAATAGGCAACCAATGTCAACTCTGGACCAATCAACCTGGCGAACAAGGGGAGGTTTCTCCCAAACGCAAAGGATCCTCTCTGTTTGGGGCATTCCCCATCAACCAATGGATTATTCATCCGGGGTGTCCAGCAATGCGTATCCGGCCCTGCCATTAGTCAAGTGGTTGAACAACCCAGTACTACCTCCAAAAGCTTAGGCATACGGCATTAGGCACTTTCGATTGAAGCGTTCCCTTCTGAACTTGTTCTGGTGGATTGCCTGACCATCCTTTCGCTTTGGGAAGTTTGGATGTAGGAATGCCCTTTAGCCCCGGGCCCCAGTGTGATGCTGGCTAGGAGCGTTTGACCGACCTCTTCAAAGATGGTTCAGCCGTTTTGGTCGCAAACTGTTGTTCGATGCCGAGCATTGATAGGTTCAGACGATTGTCAGAAATGATAAATCAACCTGCTGCGAATGGACAAAATATTGTACCAGTTGGTAGGTGTTTTGTTCCAGTATACATAATAGGAGGTGGCGAAATGTTGTCGACGGCAAATGTCCCTGTTTCTGGCGTGGAAGCCATGGAAAAAAGAGAACCGCTTTGAGCCCCGCTTTGCCTAGGGAAACGAGCATGTAGCTGGCAGTGTAGCACATCACAAAGTAGACGCCGTGGCTGTTCGCCAACACCGCAGCAATGGGCTGCCCTCGCGTTGCTAGCTCGGTGGAACCCTATTTGTTGACACTTTTAATTGGGAACATACCAATTCTCCCCCAAAAAAACAAACACAAAAACAACGAACAACACAAAACAAAACAAAACATGACTGAGAGTTTTGTGGTAGAGGCATATGGCCCTTCATGATTCATTGTTCAATTCTGGCAGCTTTCCACGTACAGGGGAATCCATGTTCCGCTGGGTCTGGTCGGAAATGAACAACCATCCATGGCCTACTTTGTCGTCTATGCGCTGAGACACAATACGAATCGAAGAGCAAGCACTTTCCCGCTATCACCATCGATCAAAGGAACCGTAAACAAGGCACAACAAAATGATTTCCTCCTCCTCTTCTGTTGCACTTGGGTTGCAGGCATCAATGATGTCATCAATCTCGGTTTTGTTTAAACACCACAACTCCAACGGTTTGGGCACCATCGTTAACGGCGGAAACAAACCCAAATAAACCAAACACACGGGAAAGCTCTTCTCAGCCCTCGCGAAGCTGTTCTTGGCCTCACCCGAAGCCCTTCTAAACATGCCAGGCCTCAGGTCCCTTTTTTCCGTTTTAGTCTTGCACCCCAACCACCAAATCGAAATTCCATTTTACGCAAGTCTCTCAAGAACAAAGGGAAACAGCCATTCAAGTGATGTACCCACAAAGGGACCTGACCAGCTTTAGTGGGCACTGTTTGGGCACGATGTTCAGTATCCAACGGGCCGGGCGATCAATTCTTGTGACATTGCTTCAATACTGCCAAGCGGACCAACAAGGACTTCCACGCATTTTGCCAGATCCACTCAAAGCCTGTTTGCTGCGAAAGTAAACCTCCACACATTGGGCAAGCTACCGCATGAGGAGTGGCGGCCCTTGTGGGTCTGAACTAACTCCGCTATAGATATTCCTTGCTCTGTGCAGCGATTCCTCAAAGCCTGACATTGCTGTTTGCTTGCTCGGATCCTTCTGGCATTGAAGAAATTCCCACCTTCAAGTCCAAAAGGTGTGTACATCCCACAACTCAATGACCTGAACGCAGGAAAAGAGCCATGCTGATGGTGAGCTCGCGTCTTTAGTTTTCTGCCCAGACATGGCAACACCAACGCCACGCTTCACCAAAGCCAAGAATATTGCGGATTTCAGGAAGCTCAAGGCCGACTTGGCATTTCGTACCCAACTTTGCCTCGGACAACAAATGGCTGTGGCTCAAAATTAAAGAACTAGGGTTACGCAGGTTTTGGTCCATGTTTCCACTTACCAGGGTTCCATTTTGGTCCCGGTTTTTTGAGCCACACCCAAATGGCATGGATGGGATTTTGAACGAGCATGCGATGTCTAATCCGCCAAGGCTGCTAGGGGAGTCTATCCGTGTCCGTGTCCTGCCTCGCTTTGGCTGTTGCAGGGTAATTCATGGCATTCACCAAAGGCACATCGAGGAGTACTCCCAGGGATGAGGGTGGAGTATAAAGATGACACAGTTCCCTTGGTGTGCGGAAGTTCAGGTGATGAAGAACCAAAACAAGACAATCAGATTGTCAGGTCTACTCTCACCCAACTCTTCGAATGCACCACTTTCTCGGCTCGCCAAGCCATCCCCGCCTGACTCTGCGAAGCACTCCCCGGAAAAGCACCGGAAGGCCGTGAACATGGACCTGAGCAGCCGTTGGTCTGAAATCGGGAAGGACACTCCTACCAACACATACCAAACAATTGGAATTCATGTCTCTTCTTCAGGTCGGTAGTACAATAGTCTGCCGTCATTGTTTCACGTTCCGATGTACAATGTGGCTGCTTTTTGACAACACTTTTCAGGGCAGTCCCTCCAAGATCTACCAAGCAAGCTGCACATCTACCCCCAATCAAATAACTCTAGAATCAATGCAAGCGCGAAAGGGCCCTATGAGTCAATCCCCAAGCTAGCTCCCTCTCTGCCAGAAGAAACAACAATCCAAAAGATTCCCAAGGTAACAATCCCTAAAGATCCGCTCCATCCTTTCCTATAGCCATGATTTCGGCAAGGCAAACACAAACAAACAAATTTCTTGTGGTTCTCACACAGCGATTTGCTGAACGTCAATGCCAGAATCTGCAGGAAGAAAGAATCTCAAATGACAACATAAATGCACATGTTTCGGGCTTCACCTCCCGGCAAACAACAAATGGCTATTGTCAAGAGGTTTCTTCTATTTCTTTTCGTTGAGATCCAAGGTGCGCCGGAATGTTCTCGAAATGCCCAATGAGCCCCAGTTCGGCGACCAGCTTGTCTCTTCCGATGGTCATGGTGGCAAAGCCGGAAATCACCTAGCGTGACGGGAACACCTTTTCGGATAAGATGGCTGTCCTGGCAACAAACTGCTGCGGATGGGCAACATCCTGCGACTGCATTTTAGACCTATCATTGAGCTCAAAGTTCCACGTACAGTTTGGTCTGACAAAGCAGCAATTGGACATGAGCCTGGCAAAGACCCTTTGGCTTGCACAGAACATGTGTCCGCCCATAACTTCCACAATGGGACTTCATCCGCTGTCTTGGGCGAAGAAACCGGCGAAGCTTGTGGCATTTGCCATGCTTCCTGACGCATCGTAAAAGTCCGCTTCCGATGTTTGCCGGGGGTTTGGGGGGTTGGTTTTGGCTGGTTTGAGGCAGGCTGTGATCTTTTGACCTTTGGCCTTCTCGTGCCAAAAGTCGAAAAAACCGAAACGCTCAAACGTGTCTGGCTATGACTGGCGGATGCTGGTGGAAAGGCAAACCTCACTACTGATGTGCAAGTTGTCCAGTCCCCGGGCCAGCAGCCTGACTTTAGCCCGCGCTCAATCCTTTCATTGGAAGATCGCATACTCCTGTGAAAGTTAACGTGGGACCCAATACCGGCCCCCCATCAGGAGTTCCCACTAAAGATGGATAGAGCTTTACCTTGCAAGTTCACGTCTACCTTGTGGTCAAGAAGTGGAACCCTGTAGAGCACAACTCCAGTCTTACACAGGGTTCCCTATGTTTGCTAATAAAACATCACCCGTGCCAAAGTAACCTCACCTTGCAGGGGGCTCTTTTCGGTGAGGTCTTATCAGCCATAGGTACAATCTAGGGACTGAAGTCGAACGGCAAATGGAAAGCTTCAGTGTGTTCTTTTTCTGTGAGTTTAATAGGCAAACTCCAAGCGGCATAGAGCACAGCAAAGAGCAGCGCGAAGGACAGGAAGAGCGTCCGGAAGCCGCCGACCAGGCCTTTCACCATTAGCCGCAGCTCCTGCGTTGTTGGGGTCGGAAAACATTCCGGAAACATGTTCACTCAAATTTCTTTATGTAGGTAACGGAAATGACTAAACAAAATGGATTGGAATTTTGCCATCTACTTTCACCCAACATGGGGGATGGTTCTTTTCGCAGTCTCTCGGCGCCAATTCGAAAGAAAACTGATTCAACTGATCTGCCCAGCTCAACAAAAGCGAGCTGGCAAATGTCATCTCAGGGCTATATAAATTTGCAGGGTCGGACATGAATTAATTTGAAAGGTGTGGTCAGTCCAACGAAAGAACACCAAAACTTCACTCCAATGTGGTGTGAACCTGAGACGCAGCGATATCGTGTATAACATTAATATTTATAATATATACATATCATGTAGAATCATACAAATCCATATATGCAGCTTAATATGTATGCTATGGCCTGTCATGTTCTGCTCTGTTCGCCTATGTATCTTATATATATATATATATTATTTGATGTATTGAAACATATGCGCACACGCATGATCTCATGTTTAGGTCTACTGCAACGGTCACCTGATGCGTGTTGGTGACTTGCGCACAATTGTGCAGAACGAATCTCCAGGGGTTTTTTGAGGGGGACACGGAGCAGAAACAACGATCACCATGGCCGCCCTTTGATTGGCAAGGTGAACGAGTAGCAACATGGTGGCCAACAAAAATTAATTTCAAGTCGCCTTGTTGCTTTGATCTCTCAGTCTCCACAGTAGATCTACCAAGAATCTTCGACGCAATGTTACAGCTTGCACTCCTGCGGATCAACAGGGACCTAACGAAACATTGTTTAGAAGAATCCGCTTTTGTGGACCCTTTGTTGGTTTCCGTGTGAACCAACAAAGGCAGCAGCAGCAGCAGCAGCAGCAGCAGCAGCAGCAGCAGCAGCAGCAGCAGCAACTCCTCCACATTAGCCATTTGGGGCAGAAAGGGTTGCACAGGGCCAACACGAAAAAGGAGAAGCCACCCGGCAGCCACCCCAATTTGGTGCACCCTATATAGCGATGGGGGTCTCTCGCGCCCTGCCAGCTCCTTCATGTGCTTCACACGAAAGACTTTGACCACTCGCACCAGTCGCACCAGCCGGCAAAATCGAAGGAGTGAAGCACCAACCATGTCCTAGTCCAGGTTCGCGCGGAGGCAAACGCATGCTTTAGCAAGATGTTACTCTTGCTACACCCTTTACCTGCAAAGTGCTTGCTAGCTTTCCACGCACTTTCACTTTTCTCAGCTGGCTAAGTGCTTAAGCTTGCCTGTGATTTAAGAACTTGTTCCAAACATGAAAAGCATGAGCTTCAAACGTGAGAACGCAGGCTAAGCCCGATGCTGCAGCTAGGAACACGTTGTTGCCAACACATCCAAGCTTTGGGGCAGACAAGTAAAGCACGATGCACAGTCCAGCATCACAACCAAAAAGCACATCAAAGCTTCTATTGAGTGAGATCCTGTTCGCAACGTCTGAACGCCACAAACAAGACTTTGGGATCCTGCGCCGCGTGCTGCAAAAGCCGAGATGTGCAAAAACACATGATTGTTACAAACAAACACAGTGGCGGCATATCTGGGAGCCTGGGGTACACAGTGGCGGCATATCTGGGAGCCTGGGGTCGAGCAACAACCCCGGTGATGCGTCATTATATTCTTGAGATGTGTTTTTGTTCCCCCGATCAGTGATGTTTGCGGACAAGTAGCGACTCCGTCTGCCACTGCCACCTCGACAACGATGTCTGTCAGGCCGGTCACAAGCAAGAAGAGATCCTGAGCGCCATGCACCCTGAATCTGGATACACCCAAAACAAAGCTCCAACAAGCATAAGGCTCCAAAGCAAGAATATGCAACAATTTCATAGAGTAAATGGAGTATAGAATTGTAATCCTGGAGGAATTGTCTTGCTTTGGTGCGTCTCACCCATTCAAAGGGCTACCGCCAAGCACTCTTAATCGCGCAGCGTCTCGTGCAAAAAGGCCTGTTGCCAAAATACGATGCTTCACAAGCGGCAAGCACTGTTTACATTTGCCTAGATTTCTTTTTGCACAAGCTCAAAGGGTGCAGTGGTAATTAAGGAGGTACCAAATGATTCATTTCCAACCATCATAAACCATTCTTCCTCAAAGTGGGCAAGTACTGGGGACGCGGCTTGCAGGCAAGCAATTGTCCAAGCTCATTGTGATTTGTCACATTGCCAAAGGCACCATTGGCCCCTCCGGAAAGCATTTCGATTTGTTCGTTCTTCCTGCTAAAATTCGCCTGAGAGATTTTACACGAGAGATTGCGCCGAGACATTTCACCCAGAGCTTGCCCAAGAGATAGCGAGGAGACATGTCTCTAAGAGACCAGGAAAGGTTAAGGAGAATGTCACGGAGAGATTGCTCAGTGAGATTTGTGAGATTGCTCACATAGATTGCTCGGCGAGATTGCAAGTCAATGTGAGATTGCGCCTGACTTGCGGCCGTCAGAAGACTCGCATGTGCAACTTTCATCAATTTCGTCTTTTTTCGGCGCCGCAGGACCGCAGCCTGCGACACTCTCGCAGATTTGGCCTGTTGAACCTTCCAAAACAGGTTACTTTTACTCTTTTAACATCCCCACGCGACCCTTTCCGATAATCGGGCAGGTCGACCTTCAACAGGATTGATTCTCGCTATTTTCTACGGCTGTTGCGCAACCAAGTGCACTTGCAGAGAGTACTTGAACAAAGCACTTGCAGAGAGCAACCTGCACAAAGCAATTTTGCTGATCACATTGCACAAAGCAATTATGTAAGAAAGACCGTTGACGGAGGCTACCCGAAGAGATTGGGTAGAGAGATTGCATTGCGCAGACACATTGCTTTATTTGTCAAAAAAATGCTTTCTCCCCACCCCTTTGCAGCCCTGAAA